TTCACTATTTGGTGGAGCTGTGAGAAGACAAATAGCCTTGAAAGCACTGGTTTAATGAAAAGATGAAAAAATTTTTCCAAGCCTACAATGTTCATCTTCAAAGCAAGTAAAACTGTCGAAAAAATGTAACGAATTTAAACAATATTTCTCAAGTCGACTCCAGAATACTCAAGTAAAGTAAACTGCACTTAAGTATAGTACTTAGTTACTTTCCACCTAACTGTATGATACTGAACACTGCAGAACCTGAAGAAATTCTGTTTTTCCTTTTTTTTTTTAAATTCATTTGTTTGTTCGTGTATTGTTGTTGATGCTACTTCCACTACTTGTATTATGCATTGTTAATAGAACAATGCAATCCGTGAGCCTTTTCCAATTTGAATGACAGCAGAAAACAGTGAATGTTTTGTGATAAAAAGGTTATTAAAGACAATTTTTGTCATCGGCCTGCACACATTGCACACATTCACAGTGCACTTTGATATTATATTATAACATATGAGATACTTGTGTATAAGCAGCTGTATTTATATGCATCCTCAGCTCATGCATTTCCTAAGAGACTTCTCAGATTGGATTTTTAAAATGATAAAGGACGAAATGTCATTGACTGCAAATCAAGTAAGTGGAACCAGATAGTGTCTCCTGTGCAGAATCTGCAAGTGGCCATGTTGTTGTTAATTTTTAAAGCAAAAGCAGACAAGGTTCCATCTACTGGAGCTCGTCTGTCCGGTGGATGGTTAATATAAAATGTGAGTGTCGGTTAACCATTACAGCTGTGCTCTAACGCTTGAAAAAAATTAACAATAAGCAAAAAACATCTTGATGTGCTGGTTTGCTCATAAGTAATATTTTTCTGACCCAAGAATAATTATGAGGCAAACTGAAAGTAGTGTCATATTATACATGCACAAGACCCAAACAATAGAGGAAGTAAGACAACACTTTGACGGTTTACTGTAGAACTGGTTTGGCTGAGTCTGCTGTGGTCAAATAAGCCAATTACCCCGGGGGTAGAAAGAAAACTGTTTTGATCCCCCTCTTGCCTTTATTGCAGCCATCTGTATCGCCTGTCTCCTTCAAGTATCCTGAATTTAATGTGCAGACTGTGTTGTGTGAGCGTTAGTCAGCTGTAGGGCCACTGGTTCAAACCGGAAATTGATTCTGAAGAAGAAGAATAACAACACAGAAAGTCCCACCCTGACAACTGGTTCCTTAGGTTTGTTACATATAAAGAACACCACATGACCACTGCCTGAACACCACAGTCTGTCCTGGAGGACGTTCATAGTGTTGCACCCATTTGTACAAAACTGAAAGAAGAAGTTAAGAATGAATAAAGCCAGAGAGATTTTGTTACTTCTGCACTGAAACGAACATCCATCCATCATCTATACACCGCTCAATCCTCACTAGGGTCATGGGGGGCTGGAGTCTATCCCAGCTGACTCAGGGTGAAGGCAGGGGACACCCTGGACAGGTCACCAGTCTATCACAGGGCTACACTTAGAGACAGACAACCAAGCACACTCACCTACGGACAATTTAGAATCACCAATTAACCTCAACATGTTTTTGGACTGTGTGGGAGGAAGTTGGAGAATCCAGAGAGAACCCACGCTGCACGGGGAGAACATGGAGACTCCACACAAAAAGATCCCAGGTGTCCTCACTGGGACGCGAAGTGGATCTGGATCTTCTAGCTGCAAGGTGACGGTTCTAACCCCGGAGCCACCGTGCAGCCCAACCGGATACATGTTGCCATGTTTTTAAAATCTGGATTAAAAGTATACAGCGTGCATGCTTGTAAATTGGTGCATAGATGGATTTTAAACCTTATGTGGCCCTATGAGTGACTTTTACTTTAAAATGTACCCCTGGCAGCAGTTGCTTCACCCCATTAGACCAGACTGAAATATCTCAACAACTACTTAATAGATTGCCATAAAATGTTATAACATATATGATGCCCACGCTGCATGGGGAGAACATGCAAACTCCACCCAGAAAGATCCTGGGTGTCCTCACTGGGACGTGAACCAGCAACCTTCTTGCCGCGAGGCAACGGTGCTAACCACTGAACCACCTTGCAGCCCCTGAAACTAACTAATTGTTTTTGTTGTTATTGATCTGTTGATTTTTTTTTTTTTTTGATTAATCAATCAACTGTTTGTCCAGTAAAATGTCAACAAAAGGTGTGAAGAATGCTGATCAGTGTTTCCCAAAGCCCAACACGGCTTTGACAACAGAATGACCCAAATGGTGAAAAGGATAAAGTTTCAACTGGCAGACGTTGCTAAATTGTAAACCATCCTCTGTTTGAATGGCATGAAGACTGGAACCACTGCATTCATTTCCTCAAGGCTAGAGTACTCTAGCTCTTTGTATCCGTGTTTTAGTTATTTTTTTTTTTTTTTTTGTCTCGTCTGCTGCTGCAATTCTCCTGAGTGGCACCAAAAAACCTCAAAAGCACCTGTACCAGCATCACTGCACCAGCTGCCTGTAACATGTAGATTTGTTTCAAGTTTATTTTGCTTGTTTATAATGCCATGCATCTGCTAGCACCTGGGTACATGTCAGAACTTTTGTGCCTCAACTATACCTCAGACCTCTTGGATTATCAGAACATCAGCAGCTGTTCCACAATGAAGGACAGTGAGGAAGGGAGATTAAATGTTCAAGGTTCAAGGTTCAAATATTTTTAATATCCTCGTGGGGAAATTTTTGTGCAGCCAGCAATGAGACAGTCACTGCCACAATCACACATGCAACAACAACAATGAACAAAAGAGAAAAGACAAGACTGATCACTTATTTAACAGGGAAATAGCAGCAGGGACAAAAGAGCATTTTGTGAAGTAGCTCCCACAAAGCTTTGGCGTAAACTTCCTCATTCAGTCAAATGTTCTTCCTCCATTGGCATTTTTCAAAAAAAATCTCAAGACCTGCATGTTTTCAATGGCTTTTGGTTGCTTCTAATTGTCATATTTTGTTGTATTTTATATAATATTTTCTTTGAGAAGTTGACCTTACAAGTTGCTTTGTTTCTGCTGTTGTCTACAATTTGATGTGAACTTACAAATTTATTTCATGAGGTCTCATGCTCTCTTGCTTTTTACACATAAGCAGCCTTCCTGATATCATGCGCATCATTTTGTTCAACTCAGGTTGTTTCAAACGTGATAGATAAATAATCTTGATTTCATTTGACATCCTCCCGAAAATTGATCTGTGGAAAAATGTATTTTCATGTTATTCTCTGTAATCCAAGAAACAAACCATCATCTTGAGACCGATAAAAGTCGAGGGAAGACATTTATTTTTTTCCATTCCTTCTTTACCTACAGACATAGATGCACAGTGGCAAAAGACAAATAGGAGGGTGTTCCAACAAAACAGTGTATAATCATAATAAATAACAATTCCTCTTTATTGTATGTGATTATGTATGTTGCTTTATGATAATGCCCCTTCCCTGCTCATCTCATCTGACTGTGTGACCTTGTGTGTGGTGCCTCCTGTCCATCATGCGTTTCTGACAGCTCCTCTCTCCTCCTCCTCTGTTTGTTTCCCCCCTACACTGCCTCTCGTTTCCCACAATGCTCAGCGAACATCACCACCAAGATGGCCGACGCTATGGAGGAATATGAGAAAGAAGCTGGCTGCGTCCCTATTCTCCATCCTGAGGTACGGTCTTTAGACTCCACACCCTCGCACGGACACATGAGCGCTCACAAAACGCGTTACACCCGTGTGCGTGTGCGTGGCCGTGGGGCTTTCCTCGTGCTTGTGGGGAAACTCCGATGCCCCCTGCAAAAACCACCGGTGGGGGGTGGCAGCCAGCTAACGATGCTAAAGTTGCTAACGCTAGCCCCCCTCCTCCTGCTGCAGAGTCAGTAAACGCTGGGCAGATGTTCGTGTAAACGTGAAGCTAGGTTGTGTTTTTCGTGGTGGCGACGCCGTGCGCCCAGTAAACACGGCGGTGAGCTGTGTGTTAAAGTCTGCACCGGAAAAAAGTAACGTTAATGGTTAATCCTTAGAGTCATACGACGTTAGCTTTGGAGCTACACTGGCAGTGCTGGCTGGTTGAACGCTAGCTGCGGTGATGGAAATTGGTGTCAAGTGTGTGTTGGCAAATTATGCTGTAGTGTACAGAGGGTGGTCATTGTAAGATGAAGGTAACAGACACGAATGATGGAATAAAAGTCTTTATTGACAACCACATACGTTTCTCCGTATGAAATATTGCAGACACCTTAGCTAGCTAACAGACAGCAGGTCCCCTGGTTCATGTTGTCAATTTGTCATGTAGCATCGATTCTGGCAGCTAATATCACCGTAAATGTGACGTTAGTTTTTGGATTTGAAACATTTAACGAATTGAGATGAATAAATTAGTTATTTAAATGAACCATAGGTGACAACGTCTGTCAAATTCGTACAGTAATGACTGAAGGAATACATCTGTGCCATCAGTATTGGTGTAACACAAATGAACCTGGCAGGAAAGCATTCACTTCCGTTATATACCCAGTTAGCTTGAAGTAGGAAACTTATTTATGGAAAAACAGTCATTTTTTTTCTCCATTTCTAAAAGAAACCTCATACTACCACAGTCAGGAGTACAGTTTATGTTGGTGTATGCACCAGTGAATTCCATGCCTGTGTGTTGTGGTGCATTCTGGTTCTTGAACGCAGCCCAGTTATCAGTTGTTGATAATCGCTGCTCGTCAGGCGTTCTGTTTATCAGAATGATCTCTGTTTGATGTAGAGCTGGCCAATATAGCTAAAAGTATATCATACTAAGCTGCTGCATTTCACTAGATATTGATCATTTTAATGACCTGTTTTTAACAAACAGATTAGAATTTAACTACTTGAACCTTTTTAGCCTATTTATTACAATACACAGGTAATCATTTAAATGTCAACACAGCAATAAAACACAAATACACATAAACAAGGATAAAGTAATACTTTCATCCTGTTACACATTGAATAAAACAAGTAGGTGAAGCCTGGAGGGCGACAGGAGTGAATGTGCTGCATTGCCCTGAGGTTAATGTGTGAAACGGCCATGCAGGACTGGGTATGGTCGGGTAGGGACCCCTCGTTTGTCTCTGTGCCTACCCTCACGAAAAATCTGTCATCACTCAGCATAGGCTGCCAGGAGCACTCTGATGACGTGGAGGTGTTTTTAGACCACAAAGCCCAAGTCACACAGGCAACCACTGGTTCCTACCAGGTCACAGCCTCCACCAGGGGAGGTCTGCATGCGGGGGTGATGAGAGGCCCAAGCAGCCAGACACCTGCGGAGACCTGCATGGAAGCCACGGGGAGAGCAACTGGGGCCATAGAGGCTCCATTATCAAGGGATGTGATAGGCTGTTACGAGCCAGAGACGAAGCACACTTGATGTTTGCTCATGCAACCAAACCTTGTGTTTTCATTGTGTGCTTTCATGGCAGTTTCCATTTAAGTGAAACTTTCAAATATTTTACCAAACAGTTCTGTCCTTGCTGTTGAAGAATTGTCTATTGTCACTACACGTCATGGTTCTCTTGTTTTTCCTCTCACCAGTCGTATTTTGCTAGCTGGTTTGTAGCCACCAGGTTAAGTGGGATAATTTACCTCCAGGCATGGTCAGTCCCTGTTAAATGTTGCAGTATGCAGTTAAAATGATTCATATCTTTAATGTCCAGTCAGTCCCCAAGATGCTGATAAACGAGTTCATCTACTTAGTGAAAGTAGGCTGAAATGAATACAGAGATTTATAACGTAATCCTGGCAATTAAGGTGAAAGTGTCTTGAAAATTTAGCGGCCATTTTATCTGGTGTTCCAAAGGGTTATATTCACTCTCTGAATGGAACAGTTGTGTCCAAGTTTTTGCCAATATTGAACTTAAGGGATGATGCTGCTACATCTTAGGAAGTCACGTCGCCTTCATTGTGGTCTGTGTTTATACATGATCCCATAATGGACACAGTCTGGAGAGCCTGGATGACCAGTGGTGGCTGCATTTGTAAAGACGTAGACTGTACATTCATCCCATGTTCTTGTCTGTTTTGTTTCGGCACGTACAAAGGAAGGAGGGCTCGACAATGGAAGATAGTACTTCGTGATTTTAGCGTTATTTTTGAGTCTGTTGATTCAGACGATAGGTTGAGCCTTGTTTCTTTGTGGTATTATGAGAACCTTTTTGACCTGAGATGCTGCACTGAAACTGAATACCACTTCCAGTATTAACCCACGTCGACAGTCTGAATCGCTCAACATATGTCATCTAACTCCCCTCCTAAACTAGGTTGCCCGCAGGTTGGATGCTACTTGGCTTTGGTGAACCAGTGTCTGTGTTTGAAATGATTACCGATGGACAGATTCCATTGTTTTTTAGCCTGTGAGTTAACTTGTCTGAAAATGAGAGAATCAAGTGAGAGTGAGATTGCTAAGAGAACTAAAAGGTAGATGTATTTGGCAGTTGTATGACTTTCTCAAAGGACAGGTTGTAACATCTATAGCAGGTGAAGTACACAAGGGTTTATTTCAAAGCAGGCTAAACTCGTAAGACCGTTAATGCACACATTTGGTCCATTTCACTAAATAGCTTCTCCTTAATGGATAAAATGTGTATCTGAAATACTTCTCTGACACAAAGCGTTTGGTCTTTCTGCGTTATTGTAATGACAAACATGCACAGCCAGTCGTCCATGCATGTGAATGCTAGCAGAGTGATGTAGTTGCTGTCTTATATGATGTGCTTGTGCAGCACTGGAATATTGAGGCGTAGACTGACTCAGCCAGTTTACTGATTGTGCTTTGGAAGTATCAGGTTCATAATTGAGAGGATTCTCCTTGTTAATGGTAATGTAATGAGGAGAACCCTCAGAACAGAAATGTACCATCTGTCCTCTGCCCCCTTGACACACATAATTGTCAGCATTTCTTTCCTGTCCGTTTTTGTTGCTGTCTCTTGACCTGATGAGGAAGTGAGACCGACTTCAGGCTGACTTACCTGAATCTCAGTGTGTGTTTGGTTTGGAAGCATTTTTACAGCACATAGATATGCAGATACAAAATACAGGAAGAGGAGGGAGTGCCATTGTTGTCAGCCAGAGTTTAATACACACAGTTTTAATGGGGGCAGAGATCAAGCGAGGTCGTGGTACATGCACGGTGGTGGAAATGTATTGTTTTATGCACAGCAATGTATAGACAAGAACACACCTTTCTCTTTGTCCAAAGGTTATTGTTCTCCAGTCTTTAAAGAGATAAAGTGTCTACCTTTAGAGGCGTCACAATCTCCAGCTTCATTAAATTGTACCATAGCTTTCACAGTATAACCCGTGGCTGCAAATGTACCGATTGTGATAAAGGGATTTATCAGACAGTAATGGCTTCATCATGAATTCTGTTAATTTCTTGCTTGCCCGTACAGGCCAGGCTTAAAGGTGCTCCTCTTCTCTGCAGGGTGCTGCTTGGAATCTGGGTCATCTAGTAGATAGTAGTGAGAGCCGAGTGAAGCGAAATCTATGAGGCACCTGAATTAGAGCATCAGAAGTTTAGTTGCACTCTCATAAAGGCTGTTGAACCAGTTCAGCATGTCAACTGCAAACATTTCCTCTCTCTCTCGAGGAATGTTAGGAATAAATGTCCTCTGCTTCCAATCTCATTTGGAAATGCAAACGAGTGCTCTGTCATAAAATGCACATAAAGGAAAGGGACGTGCTCAGTCACTTGATTTGATACTTCACTTGTAGTGCTAACTGGAAAATGCACATTCAGTTTGCCTGGAACGTTCTCATTATCGTCCTCATAAAAGTAGTGTCTGCTTCCTCCTATCCATGGATTTAAACTGAGCCTTGAATATTGAATTAGCCCCTTGAAATGGCTCTAATTTCAGACTGAATCTGATTTTGAGCCACAGCTACAGCCAGAGAGAAGAAGCACAAAATAAAAGTGCAATCTAGTCTCAGCAAAAGAGACAATGCAGATACAGTGAGGAAGCCATTGTTATTTTTGCTGCATGTATTTTAGATTAAAACCTACTTGTTGGAACTACTGTTCACTCTGCTGTAATCCAGTTAACATGCATTTTGAGTTGTGCTGTCAAACATTTTTAGCCCAAAGCATGTGACCTCCACCCCCTGGAGACTGGCTGCCATATGTCCCACTGACCAGCTCCATTGACAAAAGCCAAAGCCTGCTGCCTCACTGAAAAGATGAGGTTTCAACCTGAAATCAGTGGATAGTGTAGTGTACTGATAATATGTTTAATTGGTAATCGCATCACTGCTACCTCCCTAATTGTTGCGCTCTTCACCAGTCAGCAGGTACATAATGAAGAGGCTTAAAATGCACAAGCTGCAATTATCACCTCGGTTCTAAATGCCATCCTCAGCTTTTTAGATGGCAGAAGAGAGAGAAGGGCTGTCAGTGACTGACAAAGGTCAGAGGTGATCTTCACAGAAGATGGCGATTGGAGAAAGTGATTTAGCATCTGGTATCTGAGGTTTTAATGCCGAGCCCTCCTTCCCCTGTCCCTCGACTGACAGGAAAGCGGTTTCCCTGCACTTTCCTTCAATTGAATATCCAGATGAAGGAAGTGGCTTTGAGATCCACATTTTTCTTGGACTTCTGTTTGTCAGCCTGTTGGAACAAAAAAGCTCAGTCACGATCACAGTTGAGC